TCACTCTCACTCTCTCACACACACACACACACACACACACACACAAGTAATAAAAAAAGAAATCAACTCGAAGATGAAATATGAGACAATATTTCCCCCTGCTGGCCATTATTAGAACTGCAAAACAAACTTCATGTCAACGTGTGACCCACATTTAAAGTCAAATGGTCCTCCAAATGGTCATTTCCATACAGTGTAAGTGAAAATAACTTTACTTGTCCCTTTATATGCTTTTATGAAACACTCACAACAATACAAAATTATAAAGGAAACGGAAATTGCAAACCCTTTTACTCGTCGTTGTTGCAGTTATTGTTATAATACATTGTTTATTAGCATTGTTATATCTATTTAGCATTTTGTGAAACAGATTTTCTTTATATTTCATTGAGAGTAAATATAGGAGGGGAACTTCGACATTTAATTGGAAAGTCCTGACGTGAAAGTGAACAAGAAACTACAGTGTTTTCTTTCAAACTCCTACAGTTTGTCATTGAAACATATTTATATTTCAATGTTTCATCCATCAGTTCATGATTTACAGCATTCAGTGGAGATGCAGTACTGATTATAGATCAGAAACACAGTTTACATAACTGAAGTGTTCACATACACAGAGAACAGGATTGGTCAGGCCAGTGTTCGTTTAACATCATTGAGAGACTGGCATAGTTTTTATTAATATTTTAAATTAGGTTTTATTTTATATTTTCTGTTGTCATTTTAAGTTTAGTTAAAGTTTTAGTATTTTGTTGTGTGATTTTGTCATTATTATTTGTTTTTATTAATTTAATAATTAATTAATTAAATAATTAGCTTTAGTTATAGTAGTAAAGTTAAACAATGAAAGTGTGAAATGTTTTCTTGGAAACTAGCTGAAATAAATAAATAAATATATATATATATTTCAATTATATGTCAATCATCATTTATTTCATTTCAAGTAACATTTTTTTTTCTAAAACAGTTTTAGTAATTATTATTATTATTATTATTATTATTATTATTTCCATGTAATACTACTACACAATTGTAACACAGGGTATAATAATAATAATAATTGTTGTTGTTGTTATAATTATTATTCATTGTGTCAGCATTCTTATGATTGTCATTATTACAGAAAGAGGCATGTGGGGAAAACACGGTTCCGTCGGGCCCCAGCTGGAGGAGCCCGAGGAGCTGATGAAGATACGGCGCCCAGGTGAAGCCAAAACCACGCTTTAGCTCATGGCAGATAATCAATCAGCTCAGCATGAGAAACACCAGCCAGAGGAGCCTGACAGCTGCTGCTCTGAATCAATCCTACTGTAATACTGGCCTGTGTGTGCAATTACTATTAAAAACTAAAAACAAGATTCATG